CCTGAGCCCCACCCAAGGGAGTGGTTTAGACCCACAAAGCTCCCTGCTGGGCAGGTGCCCAGAGAAGCCAGCCTCCTCCCCCAGGAGCCCTCGGCCTGGCCTGTGAGATCCCGGCCAGAGCTTCAGTCTCATAGATCGGGAGGGGGGGGCGAGGGGGGGCGGGAGCGCTTCCTTTGCAACCCAGAGAGAGTTGAGCAGAAAGCCTGCCGGGAGGCGGCGCTGTCTGCCCGAGGCCGGCCCAGTATTGGCTCTCTAGCCGCCTAGAGTGGTCGCAAGGCCAGACAGGCGGGGTACAAATAAAATAAAATACGTAAATAAATTGGAGGCAGCTTCTTGGGGGACGCCTCCCCAGGGACGCCGCGTGGTCTCCAGGCATGGTGGGGGGCGCCCCTGCCCGAGCCTGGCCCCATCCAGCCTGAGCAGAGCTCCGTTGCTTCTCTGCCAGAGAAAACTCTCCCCCCCTCCCCCCAGCAAAGCTACTCGAGCAGCAAGCATGAAATGCAAACAAACCCCGATCCAAATTGGAGGCACCACAGCAACTTGGGGACTCAGCTCCAGTTTCAGGGGCTGCTGGCCCAACTACGAAGGCACCCTCCAGGAACCACCCCCCCCACACACACACACACCCCGAAAAGAAAGAAAGAAAGAAAAAATCCAGGCTGGAATTGTGGCAAGGTCCCCACAAACAGCTGGAGCCGAGGTGCCCTCTCCCAGCCATCGCCTGCTTACCCCAGTGGTGGTGGACAGGATGGTCGGGCTCCCCACGGCCGTGCGCTCTGGAGGGGTCCCCTGGAGCCCCCCTCTGTGCTGGGGAAGAGAGCGGGGGCTCTGCCTCTCCCCGCTTCTGGGCGGAGGCCCTCTCCCCCGCCACAGGTTGCTGCCCGGGCCCCTCAGAGGGGGCTTCAGGGGTGGGCCTGAGGAGGGGCTGCTCAGAGGCCGGGAGCCCAGGCACCAGATCCACTATGCAGACGGTGGCGCTGGGGGTCAGGCCGAGAGCCTGCAGGGTGTGGGGCAGGTCAGCCGGACCAAAACGGCGCTTGGGAAAGCTCTGCAGGAAGGAGAAGGTCGGCGACAGCCCCGGGTGTTGAGACAGGAGGTGCTGGCGTACCCCCTCGAGGGACGAGTCCGCTGGGAAACTCTCGCGCACCGAGTCCCCTGCAGGGAGGCGGATCTGGAGAAGAGAGGCAGGGGTGTGTGTGTGTGTGTGATGCCGTGGCCCCTGGGGATGCCGCCGGACCTGGGGAGTCCAGCCATGCTCTAGCCCAAGGCCGCCCCCCCCACTGATTCCCTGGGCCTCCTCCCCCCCACGCTCCCCTGGAAGTGCAAACACCCCTCCCACAGAGGGTGGGAAAGCCCACAGCTTTTCCTGGGATGGCAGAGCAGGAAGGGACCCCGAGGGTCCCTGAGCCCAGTCCTGACGGGGCTGGCAGGGTCATCAATGTGCATCCAGAGGCCTGCTTCGAAATCCGGTTTTCCACTTCTCCGGGGTTGGGGCGGGACGCAGGGTTCACATGGCCAAAGAGGCGCACTGCGTGGCACCAGGCACATCCTGCCACCCCCACTGCCACCCCCCTCCACCTGTTGAAGATGCACGAGGGTGTTTTTTGGATGAGCCCAAGAGAGAGCACAAAGCGCAACTGAGCTGTCACACTGGAGATAAACCCTCCTGGTGGGGGCCACCTCTGGTCTCCCAGGGGAATCTGAAAGCAGCCCAGAAAGTCTCAGGAGCAAAGCCCTTGCGAGAAGCCCAGGACGCGACCGGCCGGCCGCCTCTCACCGTGAGCAGGCACTGCCCATCCCGGGGGAGCTGCTGGACCTTCTTCTCAAACGGGGCCGCAGGCGGCTGGACTGGCAAGGCCTGGCTCAACTGGGCCTTCGCCTGGAGATGTCGCCGGTCGTCTGCTATCCTTCTCAGCGCCAGCTCATGTTCCTTGGGGGGGGAGGGAGAAGGCAAGCGGGTGGCTGCCAATCCTCCCTCTCCGACAGGCCAGCCCCGGCGGCCAGAAGCCACCCGGCCAGCTCCGGGGTTGAGGGGGGAGGAGGGTCCACCAGCAGGAGCCCCTGATGGACGGCCTGGCCTTCTCCTCAGCTCACCCTCCGCCTGTCCCTCCTCTCGGCTTTCAGCTGCTCCACCAGTTGCTCTCGCTGCTGCTCCGCAAGTCCTTGGCTCTCGGCTCTCCTGGGGGCCTCCGGGGCGGCCCCTTCCGCCACACCCGGCCCACAGCCTGCCACCAGAAGGGGAGAGAGGGGGGCTGTGACAGGAAACGGCCTGGGAGGCCCCCACCCCTGCACACGGCGAGGACTCTCCCCTAGGTAGGTGGGTTGGGGAGAGCTGAGGCGGGCCACCCCTTCACCTGGAGATCCGAGGGCCGGGCCGGGGGCGCCTGGCCCGGAGGACACCTCCTCCTCCTGGGGCCGCCTGGGGGGACTGAAGGCCTCCATCGCTCTTTGCCCTTGCGCTCCCGCAGGGCGGCTCAGGTGCAGGGTGGAGGTGAGGGGCTGCTCCATCCTCTCCTGCAG